TATGAGATTGTCAATTCTTCTGAATACCTCCAAGCTATTCATTTCAATCAATTGCTAGAACTTTAATATGTTTGTAAGATTAAAACTAGAAGTTCCACCTACCCTACGAGCGTCTTGTATAAATTGATGCCACTGAGATTTAAATTGTTTACTGGAAGAAATTTTCTGTGTCCACGATTCATAATGGACTGATAGCGTGTTCATCTGTTCACGCATTTCACTTAAATACTGTTCAACCAGTAAAGTTGGTTGACGGATCTCCATAGAGGAGTCTTCTGAAAGCTGAAATGAAGCAAACATTCAGAATTAACGCCTTGAACTGAAGGTACAGTATGACAAGTGACAACAAAATATTTCTGAAAACAAAAGCTTGAAAGGGAGAACACAGACAGTCCAAATATTATTTTATTTTATTTATCTATCATATCTCTCATATTGGCTAAATATTGGTAACAGCTAATGAACTTTTCACATGAGGAAGTATATCAATCAGAAGTGAGTTTGGTTTCAAGTTTAAATTTAAATAATAAAATATAATATGGAATTTAAAAATATTTGAATAATTAATAAAAAGTAAAACTTACTGTTGAGGAATTGTTTAAGAAAGTTTTTCCTTTCTCTTCAAATTGAGAATGGATATTAGCAGTTTTACTAAACAATTCCTGCATTTGGGAGACGGCGGTTTCCGTCAAATCCTGTAGATCCTCCGTTTCGGAGCGCATAATGTGCTCAAGGCCATCCAAGTTGTGTTTCAACTGAAAAAAATCAATATAGTACTTGGTATTACCTAGTACCTTGAGTATCTAGTAGTATTATCTAGAATACTAACTTGTCTTAAAATTTAAAAATTTTCTTGGTGGATTTACAGATATTTCCAGAAGCAACCAGAGACATGATGCCACGATATTCTAAGCACTGAAGACCGTATTATAAATGATCTTGTATCATAAATGGTCTTCAATCATAATAACAAGAAAGAGATGGTAGTCAGACAGTCAAAATCAGAAGACATTTTTAAGATTGTCTTTTTCATCCTTGAAAAAAGATTTCCCAAGTAAGCAATATTTCAAGAAGACTTTTTCGCTGAAATTACCAGAAACATGATTCCACAATATTCAGAGCACTCACAAATGGTCGTGTTATTCATAATATCACATAAAATTTTGAAAAAACTATAAAGTAAACTGACCTGGTGGCCGAGCCTGTAGAATGAGACATACAATAGGGCCAATTGAATGCGAATTTCCACCATACGTCTGATACGAGTAATCTGTTTGTGGAGGGCATCAACCTTTTCGGCAGCAGCTTGTGCCTCTTGGTCCCCTGACTTGACCAAGTTGACGACTGCAGCTGATAAGGCTTCCATATCCGCATTCTTGTCCTGGAAAACAAACAGGAGAGTATGAAATAAAATGAAACGAAATAATCATACTTTTCAATACCTGCATCAAAAATCAGTCAAAAAGTTTTCCTTAGAGAATTCCCTGACAGAATTTTGGACAGCTTTCAAATTTTGACAACACTTTGCCTTGGCCTGAATTCAAATGTATATACAATACCTGCATGAAAAACTGCTCAGAAATGTTTAAAAAAAAAGATGTCTTACTCTGATGTCTTCATCTATTTGTTCGTGGATTTCAAGAAAATCCTTGGCACTGTTCAGGTCGTTTCCCATGTTGCCATGACGTTTTAACGTAGCCATACAAATCTGTGTTAACCAGGTTTGAAGCTGTAAAAATTAAAATCAATATGCAAAGAGGTGTAATTCTTGCTTGTGAAATTAAATTCTGTCCATATTTTTGCCACGTACGACCAAAAAACTGATTATCATCTTCCAAAACTGTTGAAAAAGGAATTTATATATGAATTATAAACTGAAACATTCACTGTTTCTCTTGTGACCCCAACACCCTGCCCTCTCCCTAGCAGTGGTGGAGCCAGGTTTACGTCAGAAGTGGGTCTGGGGGGGGGGGGGGGGGAGAAATCTGA